TGAATAATGAAAACATACTGTAAACTTTGTGTTTATTTACTTAGTATTTTCGGTTAAACAAGATTGTAACCTTCCTTATAAAGGGACCCACAAATCTATTCCATTGTACCACTAGTGCCTGTGTCATGTATGCATACCTCTTTTCTCCCTTTGTTGTATGGTTTTCTACCTTTTTGTATTGTGCCAATTTCCTTCAATAAAAAAAATCCATGGAAAAAATATTTAGCATTTTTATATAGTTGATTTCAGGTCTGCAAGATTTAAAAAAATACTTGCTTATGTTTGAAGACATACAGTAGGTGCACATATAGGTCCAATGGAAAAGTAGTCAGATTCTAAACGTAGACAAAAATCTCAACAGAACATTCGATAATGCCATCAGAGACTTGGCAAATGTCATTCAAAATTTAATTTGGTTTTTGAAATGAATGCAGTTTCTCAAATGCAAAAAACAAATCACTGTTTGAATTTGTTGGAAAGATATTTTCCATCGTACTCCTTTGATTTTTTGGGGGACACTGCGGTAGGAGATGATAGTCAATGTAACCTTTTTAGCAATTAGAAAATCGAACAAATGTTCCAAAAACAATTTTTTTTCAATATTCTGCTGCTGTATGTCCAGCTTTAACTGGAATTACATGCAAAGAGATATTAGATTATCTTCTGGTACACACTAAAACCATTAACTATATCTGTGACACTTCAGTAGAGATTATTCATATTCCAGGTAAGATGGCAGTCCTGTCCAACCCTATCAGAAGGACCATGTGGAACAAGTTCCGGAGGGGAGATGGTCATTACATGGCATCCCTTTTCAATATCTCTTTAGCTGTCCTTGGTAAACTGACTGTCAAACAGTGCTTTTTATCCCATAGTGTCACATCCCTGACCCCTTTTGCCACCACTGTAGGAGTGAGATACTGGTAGAAATCTATTAGGGGACAAAGGAGGATACAGAAGTTAGAAGAGCTTGCAATCTATTAAGGTATGAGGAAGGGATACAGAAGGCAGAAAAACTTGCACTCTTTTAGAGTATAAAGGAGGCTGCGGAAGAGCTTACAGTCTATTAGGGTATAAGGGAGGATACAGAAAGCGGAAGAGCTTACAGTGCGTGACAAAGGGAGAAAGGGGCGACCCGGAGATCACCACAAGGCCCCCTTCCGTCCAATGCCCATCATTAAGGAGCCCTTTCAGAGGGTGGCTGTGGACATTAGCTCAGAGAAGTACATTCTGCTCTATCCATGGAAGCAGAATGTACGTGCAACTTCCTCTGCTGCAAGAATCAATATCATGCAGAGTGTTTCTAAATCGAGATGTCTTCCCAATATCTGGTGGCTTGGTGGCCATATCAATCTTTATTAAAAAAAAGGATGCCCTCAGTCAAAGGTGAGAGTTTGGGTGGGATGGAAAGATATGGATACACGCATGCCAGCTCAGAGCATCAAAGAAGATTTGAAGGAAGCAGATCAGGGATAGCTGGCAGGGTGAAACCTAGATCAGGAATGTAAACTGATAAGCCGTTTTAACAAGTTTGAAAGTATACTAAAACAAAATTGGATTACTTGTATCCAGGTCTGCACTATTTTCTTCCTGCCATCTACTTGCAGTATATTACTGTGTGAATGTTATCTACAGTAAACCAGAGAATGCACCTGTAATTGAAAGTGGCTCGCAGCATATATTGTGTGCTTCCAGTTAGACAGTGATATAGAGGGAGTTCTTCTAACTGCCTGTTTCTGCTGGGATCTATTTTCCACTGCATTGCAGGAAAGATGTATGAGAATGCTTTTGTGATCATAAGCATACTACAAGCGTGCTGTGAATGAAGGATCTACAGCGGGCAGCTAAGTGGACCTGAGAGAGAACTTCCTCTCTTTTAGGTCTGCTCCTCTGCTCAGTGGGCAGGTACAATAGCTTTACTATCTACCGATCCCCATGGGTATCGGATAACTGTGATTTTACTGTATTACTTTCTTGTGGCTGAAATCCTTAGGCTGGATTCACATATGCAACACTCGATAGTTTCCACACTAAACTGCAGTGCATAAATTTGGACCAGCTACACAGGGAAGAATGGGATTTCTACCTGATATGCATTTTTCTACTTGACATACATGAGTTTTGCTGCATTATAATGGACATGTGTAAATAGATCACAGATTTGGCAATAGTAAGCATTGCCAAGCAGCAGCCAGCAAAGCAAAAAAGATATTGGTGTGCATTAAAAGAGGGATTGTAGCAAGGGAGAAAATAGTAATACTTCCAGTTTATAAATCACTGGTTCGGCCCCAACTTGAGTATGCGGTGCAGTTTTGACCGCCAACTCTCAGGAAAGATGTCCTCCAGCTGGAGAGAGTTCAGCGAAGGGCTACAAAATTAAAGGAGAACTATGAGGTGAGTGAAAATCACTCATCCTCATAGTTCGAGCCGACGTGTGACAATGAAACTGTCACACGCCGGCTCAATAGATCGGGAAGTGAGCGAACACATACCGTCGCTCACTCACTTCTCCATCATCTCCCTGCAGAGAGCCATGTCTGTCACGGCTCCCTGCAGGGATGCCCCCCTCCCTGCTCCGATCCTCCAGCGCTGACTGGAGGAACGGGAGGGGGTGGGTACAGCTGTCTCTGCCTCTAGATAGGCAGAGCTAGCTGTCCCTCAGGCAGCTGGGTGGATCTCAACAGTAATGTCGGGATCCGTCCCGGCTGTGCCGGTCTCAGTATACCGCGAACTGTAGCTTGCGATATACTGAGCTTTTGGTCATGGGAGGACGCTAGTATTTTCCTCCCGTGACTCTTGAGAACTATGGGGGAAAAACACCCCATAGTTCTCTTTTAATTAAAGGGATAAAAGGCCTGAGTTATATAGAACCGTCTTCAGCAATTAAACGTATTCACCTTAGAAAAGAGGCAATTAAGAAGGGACCTTATTGCAGTCTACATAATCATCAATGGGGACCACAATATAGGGAACAAACTGTTTTATCCGAAAACTGTATTGAGAACACACGGACACAACAGGAGGTTGGAGGAAAGGGTTTTTTTTTTTTTTACTGCGAGTAGTAAAATTGTGGAATTCTTCTGCTGAGAGCGTTGATAAATTCAAGAAACGTCTTGATGAGTTTCTTATTTCACTTCATATACAAAAATATGGGCAGTGTTAGAGCCATATAAATACAGACACACAATCACCTACACACATAGGTTCAACTAGATGGACCCTTTATTAGATGGGTCTTTATTCAACCTTACCTACTATGTAAATACAGGATATCATACCTCCCAACTGTCCCTCATTTGGAGGAACTGTCTCTCTTTTAAAACCAAAACCCTCTGTGTCCCTCTTTCTTCCTCGGATGTGCCTCCTTTTTAGTCTGATATCTAACCTCTCAGTTATTGCATTTGTTCTTTTAACAAGGCCCGTATAAAGGAAAATAAGTGGTATTGTGGGTTTAACTCACTTATTGAGTACTATTGTATGTAATTCACATCACTGGACGCGTGACAGGGGATGTTGTCCTTTGATCATATACTTTGTAATATAAGGACCCTTTCTGGATCCTTTACCCCCTATCCGTCACGATCAGGTTGGCCAACACAGAACTCTGTTTTGTTTTCTGACCTAGATGGAGGTAATTGTCTATAATTGGATCCATGTCAGTTTAGATCTGCCTATACACTAACATTGGCCTTTTGATAAGAGGCTACTGACAGGTATACCTGATCGGAAAGCCCATTTGAAAGGGGTCTAGGGTGTCCCTCTTTCTAGGAGGTATGGGATATCTATGCTGAGAAGAGAAAACCCCATTTACACAGGACACTCCCTGGCTGGCTGGATGAGTGAGACGTTGCTCCCTCACTGATGGAAATGCTGCAGTATGTCGCTCACCAGCGAGAGAATGCTGTCTCGCTAATCCAGCCAGTGAGGTAGCGACCTGTATAAACGGGTAAGAATTTCTCTGCCCTGCCGTGTTCTGCATAGTGTTCCTAACAGGATCGCAGGCGTGATATTTACCTTACTTGTATGACCATGATGACTACATAAAAAAAAGCCCACACAGAATTGTACTGATACTTTTGTAAGAAAAGATTTTATTAGAAATATTTATATACACAGCTACAAAACATAAAGGCCGCTTCCTTCATGTGGCAATGTAGATCAATGTGTCTCACAAATCTGTCACAAACCAGTTTAAACTAAAGACATGATGAAAATAAATTCAGATTAAAATGGGGCCCAGATATAGTCAGCTGAAATTATATTCAAATCCCTACCTTTCGTATTTAGTCAGGACACCGAGATGACTTGATCTCTGGCTTTGAGGCCCTTTCACACATGTGCACGTGTGGTAACGCACACAAGTAGATGTGAATGGGCTCTTACAGTATAAACACACTAAACTACAGCTCATACATGTGAACCAGCCACATCGGAAAGAATTAGATTTGGACTTGAAATGCAATTTCCTGCAGTACATTTCATCTCACCTAGAGAGAACCACATATAAATATGATATGTAACATCTGCCTAACCATTTTAATCATATGCTTGGTTTTATGTGACTAGGCTTGTGAGAGGCTATCCTTAGTCTGCAAGGCAGGGTCATCCACATAGCACCAGTGCTAATGTTTGCATAGGGAATGGTTCAGCAACATGCTTGAGGTGTATTCCTTGCTGTGCCATTCCACTCCATTTCTTAGGCCTCATAATGTCTGCTGTGTTGCAGCATATTTTATTTGTTAATATCCAGTGTAGAAGAGACGTTTCACTTGAGGATTACTTCAGGATGCAGTGATATCCCTCTGGATTTTGCACTGTGCAGACAAAAGATAAAGATGGCAAATTAATACTCTGGAATATTCCATGTGCATTGTTCATAAGATTCAGGGGTAGCCAAACGTAAGCCCTCCAGCTGTGGTGACACTGCAAATCCCATCATGCACCTCCCTTTGGTAGTCATGCCTGTTGCTGTTAGCAGCTTGCAATGCCTCATGGAACTTGTAGTTTTACAACAGCTGGAGGGCCGAAGTTTAGCAACCCCTGAGATACACCAATAAACTGTATGTCATGCCAAAAAAATGTTTAGTAAATTTTTACTAAAGAACACATTTTTATTACTGTTTGTGTTGCTGATGGAGCGTCTCCCCAGTTCCTGTCTGGTAAAAGGTTTGGCATCAGGGCAGGAAATGAGGGTAAACCTCTCTAATGGAGCTTGGATAGTAGTAAAAAAAACAAAATTGTCCCCACTCTATCCAAAACTAAGAGTAAAGTTTTGGCTGTACATACACTTTAAGGGCCCATTTACACTATTTTGCTCCATTAGCACATGTGTGTTATGACTCAAGTTTGTATGCGGTACATTAAGGCAGCGCATTCATTTGAATAGGCTGCCTTACGCACCAGTAACCATGCACCATGTAGTATTTATGGCAGCACATTGCAACAAAACACACTCCCATTGGCATGGTGCGTTGGGGTGCCATTCAGACCTTACTGATAATAAGTGCTTTAATATGGAAACAAATCACAATGTCACATAATCTTCATCCCAGATAGTTACATAGTGTTTGAGGTTGAATAAAGACATTAGTCCATCAAGTCCAACCTATTAGGATCTCATTCTAGGAGTACCCGTACCCCTGTATATTACGGTCCCTTAAGAAATCATCCAAAAGTTTCTTGAACAATTCCACATTATTTGCTGAAATCACCGCCTGTGGCAGTGAGTTCCAGACCCTAACTGATCTTACTGTGAAGAACCCCCTTCGCCCCTTGTGCTGGAATTTTCTTTCCACCAATTTTAGGTGGTGGCCTCTAGTTTTTGTAATGGAGTTAATTTTAAACAGTTTATCGCTAATGTTGCTACCACCATTGAACATTTTGTACATGGAGATCATATCCCCCCTTAATCTCCTCACCTCTAATGTGAACATGTTTAAATTTAGTAGCCTTGTCTCGTAGCTCTTGTCCTGCATACCCCTAATTAGTTTGGTTGCCGTCCGCTGGACTTTTTTCAACTCAAGGACATCTTTTCTTAGTACTGGTGACCAGAACTGGACCGCGTACTCCAGATGAGGTCTAACCAATGATCTATAAGTGGCAAAATTATAGACTTGACCCTTTTTAATACAGGACAAAACCCTGCTAGCCAAGACCCTGCTAGCTTTGTTTACAGCAGCCTGGCACTGCAAACTACCTTTCAGTTTGTGGTCTACAATGACCCCCAAATCCTTCTCCATTTCTGACTTCCCCAGCGGCATACCCATAATTGTATAACCCATTTGTTTATTTTTAATTCCAAAGTGCATTACTTTGCATTTATCGACATTAAACCTCATCTGCCACATTAATGCCCACTCCCCTATTTTATCCAGGTCCTCCTGTAATGTTATAGTGTCTAAGTCCGTGTCTATTACCCTCCCTATTTTGGTGTCATCTGCAAACACGGAAATACTGCTGTTAACACCTTCCCCGATGTCATTAATTAATAAGTTAAACAATATGGGACCCAGCACAGAACTCTGAGGCACACCGCTCATTACACTAGCCCACTCTGAAAAGGTGCCATTTACAGATACCCTCTGGACCCGTTCCCGTAGCCAGTTCTCTATCCACGTACACACCACCTCATCTATGCCCATAGCTCTCAGCTTGTGAAGTAAGCGTTTGTGTGGTACCGCATCAAAAGCCTTTGTGAAATCCAGATATACCACATCTACCGGCCTCCCTCCATCCATATCTCTACTCACCCCCTCATAAAAAGTTAGCAAGTTAGTTAGGCAGGAACGGTCTTTCCTGAACCCATGCTGATTGTCATTAACTATCCCGTTTTCCTGAACAAATTCTACCAGATAATCCTTTATTATGCCCTCTAGCATTTTACAAACTACCGATGTTAGACTGACCGGCCTATAGTTCCCAGGTTGGCACCTTGCCCCCTTTTTGAATATTGGGACTACCGTAGCCCTCCGCCAATCACTGGGGATCCTACCAGTCATTAAGGAGTCCTTAAAAATGAGGATTAATGGTCTAGTTATAACCTGGCTTAATTCCTTAAGTACCTTGGGGTGCAGGTTATCCGGACCCACTGCTTTGTTTGCATTGAGCATTTTAAGTCTTTGATGTATCCCGGTTTCCATCAGCCACTGGGGTATATTTTGAGTTAAACTGGGAGTTTTATCATGTATGTCAAACCCGTTTCCCTCTTGAGTGTATACTGAGGAGAAAAAAGCGTTCAGCACCAGATGGAATGAATACTTACATTTTTGCAGTGAAGCAGTAAAGCAGAATTCATCTGGCATATTTCTCACCATCTGCGGGGAAGGCAAATATATCTATCAGAAGACCAAGCTCATTTGCATTACATTAGGAAATACTCATGTTTATTCTAATCTACAGGCTGAGGAAACGCGGGAAGTTTTTCTCAGATAAGTGGCAGTTGATAGAATTTGCACCCTTGAAGTCTCCACTGATTTTAATATGCAGAGAAAAAATGGCTTTCTGCCAGTGCTGTGTTTTGCCTCAGACACTAGGAAGGCTTAACAGCTCTGGAAGGCCTCAGATGGCACCACATTGAGTATATTACTGAGGACATAGAAACTGAATTTCTTTAAATGGAGGCTAGTTACATTGTGAATTATTTTTAAGGTTTTGTTTTCTGTTACTTTTATCGTTCATCCTTATCCAAAATGAAGGTTTCAGTGTTGGCTTGGCATCATTCACTGACAGTTCAGAACACTTGAAGACCTGAGTGGTTGGATTTACACACATGGTCATAGCAATGGGGTCTCTTGCAGCTGGGCTAACCAGTTATATATTCGTTTTATATTATGGCAGATCAATAAAGGGAACATGCCACCACTGGTCCCTTAAGGACCAAGCTTCAGATGCTTGTATTTCAGTTAAGGACCAAAGCAATTTGTGCTGTGTGTGTTCAACCGCAATTTTCATCTCTCATATTTATTGCACCAACACATATATACCGTTTTGTAAAGGACTTTGATGTGTCATTTGCATATATACTCTTATGGACCCATGACGGAACTATTCCTTATGGTCCTTATGGCATGGACAACCATGATGGAAGAATTCAGTCATTGGTCCTTAAGGGGTTAAGTTCCCAAAAATCATTCAATTTTGGGAATGTTTAGAGTGAACATTTTCATGTCCAATGTACTATTTATTTTTCAGTTTTACACATTCATGACACCATTATGGACAGGGACCATATTGTAGACTAATGCATAAGAGTTTTTCCCATTTAGTACCATGCTAACCAGAGTCAATATCAAATCCCTTAGTTTAAAAAAAAATGCCCCCCATTGTGACCTATCATCGATTCTAGAGCAATTACTTACTGTGTCACTGAGCAGAATATGGATCCCGTGGGGGCCTGTTCTGGAGATACGCAGTATGTGATTGGCTGGCACACTGAAAAGGTCAGCCAGCTTATTGGTCAACTCTGCTACAGTTGCGTTTTCCAGATAGATCTCTTGATACAGCGCTGTCAGAAATAAAGATGCAATCACTAAAATATAATTTAATGTAATTTCAAAAGTAATTTTCAATATTTTAAAGCTGAAGCTTTCATTAAAATAATACCTGGGTGATCCTGCTCTGGCAGAGTTTAGGGCCCATTAACAACACTCAGGGCCATTGTGGTGCGTTAAAGCACTCTTGTAAACATTTGTTGCGTTAAGTCAGCCTATTTGTTTGAATGGGCAACCTAACCACCACAATTGACTCTAAAATCGTACCTGCAGTATTTTTTGTATGCAGTAAGCTACAATGCATATTACTGCATTACTGTGCATTTTAGTGCACTGTTACAGAGGTGAATTAGGGTGCTATTTTATAATGAATGGCACCGCAGCACACCAACACTCATGACATGTATTACCATGCCTTACATAAGTGTGAATGGGCCTTTAAGGTTGGTATAACTGATATTATGTGCTTAGGTAGTTTTAAAGTGATTGAAATTGCCCATAGATATAGCCAACTTGACATTTTCTTTGCTAAGCCTACCTGTCTGGCTTGAATCAGCCTCATTTTGATTCTTTCCCATAGATTCTGCACTGATGTATAATGTAAGACGAGGCCTCACAGACCTGTTGGTAAAAATTTTAACAGCAAAAGTCAGATATGTGTGCTCTTGTATTGTATGATGAAAAACCAAAGTACAACAGGATGATACACAGTCATCAGTTATGCAGTCCAGTCTTCATTTGTTTTTGTATTGTTTATGCCAATCTACAAAGGTTCAACCTTGCATTAATCTCACTACTGCAATGTAACAAATGTAGCCATCCAAGAGTTCCTGATATGTTCCAAACCTGCTGCACCATACTAGAGAACTGCTGATCATTAGACAACATCTGCCTGCTTGGAGATACCAGGCCTCTGATGCTGTTTAATTGAACTAGGCATCCCTCCAAAGTGCCATTTCTCATTGTCTGCACTAATATATTGTGTTTAAACTGCTGTAGGAAATAGTTTTCTTGAAACCTGAAACAGTTCTTTTCCTCATTTCAATGCTTCAGAGACAAGAGGATGCAACTGTAAGATAATACAATTACAGTTGGAAAGAACTGTTTTTTTTTTTTTCCTTTTTTAAGTGTTCTGTCAGCCATTTCACCCAGCAGCAGGGTCTCACAACAGAGAGCAAGAGAGAGAGTGAGAAAGCCCTGAGCAACAGTTGGCTTGCATATATAAAGGCCTGTGGGCAGTGAGACTAATAATGAGATATGACTACCAGGTAAGATGTGTACCTAGAAATGGAGGCTTAATCCCACCCAAAGCTCTACAAAGCCTCTGAACTCCAGGACCCAGAACAGAACTTGAGATTTTGAGAACATAAAAAGTTTGTTTTCTTAAAATCGGCTATAAACCCTGTAGCCCTTCACTATATATGTAGGAAACCTAGGTGACACATATGCACCAACCTCAATCCTGTCAGCCATTGGCAGGGGACTGTGTTTTGTGGTGGGGGGGGGCCCCCACGCCAA